CTACCATTCATGCCTTTTTCTCTTTTTTCCTCTTTTTCCAGCATTTATACTGACATGGACATGAACTCCTAACAATAATGAATATCAGTAGCAAAACCAGATTTCTTTTTCTTGCTTTAATGCAGTGGATCTCATCATTTCATCTTTAAGAAGGATATTTGCTGTTCTTTTCCAACAGACAAACTGAATGACTCCTGACTTATGAATACTTAAAAAAAATAGGTCTTAGATCTCACGAAAGCTTCTCAGCCTCTATCTGGCTGGACTTGTAATGTTTAATCAAAGGCAATAGTAGCCTCCCACAGAAAACACTGAAGTTCTGTATGAAAGGGGAGGCAGGATTTTTGGTTGCTCAAATAAATGGAGAATGCTAAAGGCCTATTACTGGGGTGTGGCCAGAAACGCCAAAATTTCTGCCGTGCATAGTCGTATGATGCTCAACTGCAATCGGCGTTCCTGTGGAGATAAACTGATTCAGCTTATGCTTTTGGTATCTTTTAATGCATTAACATTATGGGCTACATTAATAAGTTTCATGATTTTAGAAGGAAATTTCATTCCCCTATGACACTGTAATTGATCATGACTTGTTAGACTAGACTTGATAATGTTTTATTTCATAATTTTACATCTACATTTATAAAAGTGATTGAGTTAGATTTTTTACAAGATCCTTATATATTTATACACACACACACATATATATTAATATGTACATATGTATGTATATATACACACATATCAGCTTCCTGGTAGTCTTATAAAATGAAAAACTTGTCTATTAATTTTTTTTTGTCTTTTTCTATATTGTCTGTTTATTATGTTTTTCTCTTGCATTTCTTCCTGTTACTTTCTGGCTTTTGTCAATCATGTTTCATCCCCACCTCTTTATTCATTTGAAAGATAGGAATCCTATCTTTCTGCTAATGGTTTATTCTGCTAGTGGCTGAATTATATATTTCAATTTAAATTTCTGTATCAAAGTTAAGAATTTAAGAAAAATATTATGGAGCCAAATATTTTGAAATTTCTTTTTACTGAGATGTTTTGCTTATCTTTCTTTTAGACTCACTCTAATTCATAAAATGTTAATGAAAAGGGGAAAGGGGAGATTTATGAATGGAGACAGGGCTGCACATGAGTTTGGTGACTGGTGGCTGTTAGGAAAGTGAGCTTTCAATTGCCCTTTCTCTCCTCTCTGCCACTTCTCAATGCATGTTTTTATTAAGCCCCTCTTTGCAGCAATGGTAGAAAAATTTATTTCTTACATGGATTGGATTGCTCTAATGGATTTAAAAAGGGAAGCAGAATTTGTAGAAGTTTGTTCTCATGTTTTATCTCATGTCAAATTCTAAAAGGGATTAATCACACAACTCCTAATAAAAAGAGCATAAAGTAAAATAGCATAGTGTTTTAGTCATGAAATGTAATCCTACATTTTGGATGTTTATTTATTTATTTTTATAGATGTAATATTAGCTTTTATTTATTTATTTTTTATTTATTTCAGCATATTATGGGGGGTACAAATGTTAAGGATACATATATTGCCCATTCCCCCCTCCCTCCTCCCACCCGCCCGACACCCGATAAATGTTATTCCTATATGTCCACTTAAGTGTTGATCCATTAATACCAATTTGCTGGTGAGGACATGTGGTGCTTGTTTTTCCATTCTTGAGATGTTTATTTATTTTTAAAAATACTACTAATGCATCCATATGTTAAAAATGTTAAGTAGTGGTAAAAGTTGTGATAAATAAAAGTCTCTTTCCCCACTTGGACCGTGCATCTAATTTCCTGAATTATAATTAATAGTCTTTTACATAAACTCTTGGATAAATTAACACCCATGGCAGATAAATACACACACCATTTGCATTTTAGAATAATATTATACACTTCAATCTTTTTCTTCTGTAATAAATTCTAGCTCATTCTTGTTACCTGCAGAATATTGTCATTGTATTTTTAGCATAAGGTTATTAAATCATCCTCTACTGTGGGTAAACATTAAGTTAATTTAGCAATAATCACACCTCGAATAAATCTCATTGGCTACAATACTGCCATTATACAAAGCTAATTTTATTTTATTTTATTTTATTATTACAAATAGTACTGCGTCAGGCATCTTTCTAAAATTATCCTGAGATACATTGATTAAATTCTGCTAGTCAGATTATGTTGAAGGATATGTTTATTTCTGATTTTAGCAAATATTGCTTAACTGCTCTCACATAAATTTTCAAACATTTTTATTCATTCACTGTTGTGTCCCTGGTACCTACCAGAATTGTTGCAATACTGTGGTGACTTACAATTGTCAAATTCATAGAAAACAGAATGGTGGTTTCTGTGTTTATTGATATAGAGTTTCAGTTTTACAAGACGAAAAGTTACGGAGATGGAAGGCAGTGATAGTTTCACAAAACTATGAATTCATTTAATACCATTGAACCGTACACTAAAAAATGGTCGAGATGGAAAATGTTATGTTTTGTGTATTTTATCACAATTAAAGTGATAGATAAAAAAGAAATATATGCAAGGCAGAAAATTATTTGAGAGTTCTAAAGAAGAGAAATCTAAATCTGACTTGGTAGGCAAGAAGATGAGGGAAGAGTTCGTGTATTAACATAATTTGCAATTTACCACAGGGTAGCATGGGAGGCTTACTCTGATATCCTAATTCATACAAGCACTCTCAATAAAATTGTCACTTTAAAGGTTATTGAATGAATGAGTAAATGAGTTTTGTGTGTATTTCCATGGGTCAAATTGGCACTGGAAAGAAAGAGAATGTATCTGCTACCTCAAAAGGGAAGACATGCACATATCGTGGCAGATAGCAGTGGCCCTGGTGTATTCTACAGGGAATCTGGTTTGGCCACTAATGAAAAAAAAAAAAAAAAAAAAGACTATGACTTCCATTAAGTAACCGCTTCACACACTTCACACACACACGCTTAAGCTTCTGGGGTAAATAATAGCTACTGTATTTATCAAACACATAAATTCAATGAGTATAAATAAATAAAACCCTGGGGGCTGAAAATTTGAGGAATAAAAAATATTTGACCAGTCTCATAGTGTCAATTACTTATTAATTGAAAAGGGAGAAATAGAAACTTTACAGAAGTGAAACTTGACAGAATCCTTCTCAAGCAGGTGACTGTCACCAGTGTTGGTTCAAGTCCACCCTGTAACTAACTCTGCCCACCTGTGCAGTGAGGAGAACCAATGGCGAATCTGTGATATTCCTGCCAAAATCCATAGTCAAAATCAAACATCAAGGAAATATCAGAAAAACTTTAACTAGGAAGAAATTAAAAAAAAAAAATCCTGTATTCACCAAAAATGCCCATGTCAACATAGTCAAAGACAGACCGAGGGGCAATTTAGATTGAATGAGGCTAAAGAGACATGACAATTAAGTGCTACACGTTAACTGGGATCCCTTTGCTTATACAATATTAGGACGGCTGATGAAATTCAAATACTGTCTGCTGATGAGATGATGCTCTCCTGTCAATGTTAATTAGATAAATAATAAAGATTGATCTAGACATATCTTCCTGTAGATGCAAGTGTCTATGTCCATACCTGCAGATATCTAGCATCTATCTATCTGTTTATCTGGAGAGAGAGAGAAAGACAGAGAAAGAGAGGGAGGATACAGCAAATGTAGAAATATATTAACATTAACATTTGCAAAATTTGAGTAAGAGATATATAATGGTTCTTTGTGGCCTTGCAAATTTTCTTTAATTTTGAAAATTTGTCAAAAGACAAAGTAAAAAAAGAAGCAATATATAATATTAATAACATTTATTTCATGATGCATCTTCCCTAAATCTGTCTTCCTATGATCTGAAGAGTCTCTTGCTCCAACTGTACCTCATGTGAAATAGCAAATCAGCCCAGTGGGGAAACAACCCTTCCATAGCCCTCCTAAGCCTCTCGTTCCAGGAATACCGGCTGCAGCCAGCCAGCAGCTTTGCATATTGGAACAAATCCTGAAATATAAAAGCACTTTGGCATGTTTTTAACAACCTAACTGATGATACCCTGTGCATTTTAATGCTTTGCATGTTTTGAGACAATTAACTGGTACCAGATGATGTGAATTTACCTAGACTGATATAAGTTATAGTGTACATGAGTGATATCTGGACACACCTAAGGAATCATATTTTCAATAACTGAATTGCTCTCATGGGATTTCTTGCTACTCTGCTTCAGGGAGTTGCTACCCCAAGGCTTTGGCTGCACTTTAGGGGGAAGTGGTTCCTGCCAGAGGTATGAGGGATCAGCTATATGCAAGAGAGAAAGGAGGAGTTGCCAAGGAAGGGGGAATATGTCTTCTTTGTCAGAACTTTTAGCTGCAGAGAGCCAGATACAGGGAGAAAAGAAAATAAAGAACAGGGGTAATTACACAAGAAGATACATTGATGTAAGAGTCTACAAATGAAGAAAAGGAATATCCATGATATTAGTGGGTTCTTGGAAACAGCTGTTAATCTACTTGTCACAAAAAAAGCATGTGATGGTTCCAGATCTACAATATAATAAATAACCTGGCCTTGGTAAAATCATTTCAACAAAACTTTAAGGAGGAAACTGTAGGAGCTCATTTATGAGATCTCAAAAGAGGGCCTTAGTGGCCTCATTGGCAGTATTTGATGCCTCCACTCTCTGGGCATAGATTTCTCGACTGGCAGTGGGCACTGGACCCACCCTGAGATAATGAGCCCATATGAGAATTTGGAGCTGGAACTAAGAGAATTTGGACTCAGCCTCTTGGTTGGGATGTAAACATTGATGCTGTGAGCAAGCTTATTCCAATGTGTCTATGAATCTTCCAATGACATCTTCATAAATGACAGCAAACAACTAACAACAAAAGGTACCAAAAACCTAGAGTTAGGTTCATCTATTTTTTTTTTTTTTTTGGTTTGTTCTTCTCCTTCAATAGATTGATTTATAATGGTGAAGTTTTTAGAATGGGCAAATGGCTATAGGCATATAAAGGGAGTCAGGGTTTGTAGACTTAGAACTTATCTTCTACAGGTAGAATAAATATTCAGCTACATTTTTTAAAGTATCATCCTCAAATCAGAGGAACCATGGGGTATTTATTTTCTGTTGTTGCTGTTTGTTTGTGTGTTTATCTAGAAATTGAAGTGTGAATTGGTTATTTTTAATTAATATCTGTAGCCCCATTCTTCTTAGGGAGAAAGCTGTATTAGACACAGAAACTATTGTCAGTTCCAAGAATTGATTACAGTATCTTGAACAACAACAACAAAACACACCTGAATTTCAGGAGGAGGTGGCACATAGGAAAGTATGGAAAATATACAAATGAACATGAAACGGCTCAAGACAATTGCCAAGTGTATTGGGATTGCTTAACCTTTGTGTGTTGGTATTAGTCATAAGTTATAGATATATTTGAATCTTCTTTGAATGCACAATATTAAGTAAAATATTGCTATTTTAAGGAGAACTGATTTTATTTTTCTAGTACATCTGCACAGATCTTCTTCAGGTTTTGGCCAAAGTGCATCTTTTTTATTTTTATAAACTTCTTGCTCATGGAACACAATGACCTGAGTATAGACACTGCATCTGGAAGATCTGCCTCCAAACTTTCTTTAATGTTTTAAACTGAAAGAAATGGGATAACAAAAAGATGAATTTGCTGGAGTCACACAAAAGACCAATCACATGTAAAACTGAGAATCATAGAATTGGAATATAATACAAACTACTCAGAGCATGATTATTTATTTTTACACAATTATTTAAGCCAATGATACAGCAGAAACAAAGTTTTGCAGCTTTGGGTAGGAATGTGGATAAATGATTCAAACTTTATTGAATTCACTTAGTTATCTATACTTATTTCATGGGGGTCACTTAAGGCAAAGTTTCAAGAAGATTCAAGTTTTGTTCAATTTCTTTCTACCTCAGTGTAGGGTGTCTTCCCTCCCTGCTGGCTATTGTATCTTCCAAACTTGAGCACTTAGGGAATTCATTACCTTTGCCAACCTCTCCTAAGAGTCTTCATATTTTGAAAAGAAATATGTACTTCAGCCTCCCCTATCCACACTTTTCATCAAAGTAAACCCACCACAAGTACCAGCCCTTTAATACCTGTATTTATTTTTATATATAGCCATGCATATGGTAATGATCATACATGCCAACTTGCCTGCATTTGCAACCCAGCCTAGGTGAGATATTAACCTTCTAATGAGAGTTTCTCAAGAGAAAAACTTTCCTATCAAAATAATGAATCCAATGAGATCCATTTGAGGAATTATTAGCAGGAAAATTTTTTTGTGACTTTTATCTCAATTCCTTTTTAAGGTAGTCAAAGTGCCCTGTTAGAGAGCCATCCTAATGCGACAGCTTGGATGTGCTACTGAAGAGTAAGAATGAACTGGAGATGGTGAGTCCTGAACTGGCCAAGGAAGAAAGCATCCAGTGGCAAAGTTCTACCAGAGATGATGATGGGAGCAAGAAGAAAGCACTAGGGAATGCAGGGACAGGAGTTAGGCAAGAAGACGAGAGCTGGACACTGAGAAGGAGGCCAAAGTGTGGCTCTGGGCACAAAGTGAAAGGGTCAGGGTGCAGGAAGTGCACAAGACCTGCAGGACTTGGGATAGCAAAGATCAAAGAAACAGGCATTTGGAGACAGATGATTATGCACCTTTGGACCAATGGAGATTGAAGGTTCTGCGAAGCACATAGTTAAATGTGCCTGCCAAGCCCACCCATGTAAAGACAGCCACGACAGGATAAGAAAGACAGGGAGTGCCCTGAGCCTATTTCTCAAATGCAGCAGGCACTGAAATGGTCAAAACTTGAGAGACTGGGACAAAAACCTAGCCATCATGTTCACAAAGGTACATTTAATAATCATGGCCCCAAAGAACAACCAACCAACCAAGACAGCACAAAACCTCCAGGTCTTTCTGAGCAGGTGAGTGGTGAGCTCAGCAGTGGTCTCCATGAGGAGTAGCTCCCCAGGGTGGCCGGGACACCCCTGCCTCCGGGAGCGCCCTGCCCCAGCGTGGCTCAGGATGCAGCGTGCGCCTCCCGGTTCCAACGCACCCCGGTAACTCTGATTTAGCTCTCCTTCCCTGAAACGTGATTGGCCGTCTCTAACATTCATTTGATACTGTACTTAGTTTCATATGTAGCAGACTGTGAACACACGCAACTAGATGAATTCTGTGTTGATTTTCTATCGCCACTGGAGCAGATCATCACACATTTAGTGGCATCAAGCAAACACAAATATTTCATCTCACCATTCTAGAGGTCAAATGCCCAAAGTGGATTATACCGGGCTGACATCGACTCTGTGAGCAGGGCTACGTTCCTTTCTGGAAGCTCCAGGAAATGGTCCATTGTCTCGCCTTTTCAAGCTTCTAGGAGGCTGCCCACGGTCCCTTGGCGTGGGGCTCCCGCTCCCGTCCATATGCAAAGCCAGCAGCAGCTGGTCAAGTCTTTTTGCACATAGAGTCACTCTGACACTGATTATTCATCATCCCTTTGCCACATTTAAAAGACCTCTGTGATTAAGTTATGCCCACCTGGGTAATCTAGGGTATGCTCCTCATTTTAAAGTCAGCAGATTAACAATATTAACTTTATCTGCAACTTTCATCCTCCCAGCCCCATGTGACATAATATATTCACCATTTTCACAGTAAGGACAAGGACATTTTTTGAAGAGACTTCACTCTGCCTGCGACAAACCTCACCTCAAATACTTGATAGGCCCAAATCTGTCAAAATCTGCGTATGAACACACACACATACACCACATACACACATACACACACACCCCCAACTATAACACACAGACACACACAACACACCATTAATACACACACAAACACACACATACACCACACACATATACACACAGAAACACACACCACACACATGTATATACACAGAGACACACACATACACACACAAACACACATACACATACATACACACACAAACGCACACAAAGACAACACACACAGACACATACACACACGCACACACACAAAAGTACAGGCATATATCCCTTTGCAAAAAGGCAACCAAATGAACATATTCTGCCTAAAGATAGAAACATTTAGAGGTATTCAACATGAAATTATATTAGAGGATACTTGAAATCAGCATTATAAAGAAACCTCTTCCTAAGTGGAAATTGATTCAGAGTCATCAATTTAAGAGCTTTAAGCCCAAATTTGCGCATGGAGCACGGGAGGGCTGCATTGCCTGAGATGCTACATTTATGACAACATCTCATAAATGGAAAAGGGTTCCAGGTCCTTAGCAGGAGTTGAGATTGTGTACACAGCCACACCCGGCTGGAGGTGTCAGAGTTATTAATATATATATAGAACTTAACCCATACCCTCTGCTATCAAAATCTCTATGGTGCTGTCTTTTTGGAAAAACAAAGACCAGGATGAGGGATGAGGATGACTTAAGGACTGGCCCCTGGGCAGCCATTACTCTCTCAAGCGGGCACAGCTGCCAACAGCTCTGCAGAGTTAAGCTCACCTCACTCATCTGTTTTCCTCAAGCGTCACAACCGAGCTAATGCTGGTGACGTGCGCCGCCAGGTGTCCTTGTGCTGGCACCACAGGTTTTCCTGTGGAATGACTTAGGGGAGACCATCTTGTTGACGAAGGGTATAAAGGGTCTGTCTTGAAACAAAGTATGTTCTTTTTACTTCAACTGGCTGGGTTTCAAGGATGGCTTTGGGGGGCTTTGGGGGATCATGTGGGCTTACGATCCTGTTGTCACTGTACCCCTGATCCAAGGGAGACCCACAGAGTCCCCACTGGAGTGAGAGGTTCCATGAAACATGAGCGCATCTTATATGGAAATGCCCAGATGCATTCTCTCCTTAACGCCTCTGTTCCTACTTATGAACTGAAAAACAAAAATCTCAGAGTGAAAAGCAAATAACAAAGGAAGAGGGAAAAGAAAACAGGCAGTAGGGCTAGAAACTGCGCCTTCTGTATCTGGACCAGGGAAGAATTCTGGAGCCGGCGGGCAAGGGCTCAGGCCCTGGGTGCTCATGAGGGGGTTATGGAAACACTCAAGACACAGGAAGCATCTTACTAAGCTTCCCACCATTACCTTTTCAATTTTCAAAACTTAATAGATCTTGCCCTTTTTCTAAACTCCTCCCCTTAAAGAATCTCCTCAGTTTCCTAGTTCAAATTCTTTTTGTGCTTATAGTAAATTTGAAAAGGAGCGAATATTTTCTGTTTTGCATCAGGAAGAAGAGGCTTGCAGCAGGGTCAAATTTTACTTTTAATGCCAGTGAGAAGATACTTTACAAATGTATTTTAAGGACTGAGTGTCTGAGGCAAGTTCTCCTTCCTTAACATACATTCACCCCTTTTTGTAAATATAAAACTTATTTTTTTCTTTCTCAAGGCTTTTAAACATATTGGAAAAATTTGAAATGGCTTAAAGTGCTTAGAAAATGGCATTTTGATGATATAAGTGAACTCAAACTACTTAGCTAAATTTTTTCTTTAAATTACCTATAATTCAAAAAGTTAAGTGAAAATACATTTGCAAATGTACTTGAAGGTTCAATTGATTGTGGATGTTTTGAAATGCGGGTGGAGTAGGTTTAGACATTCAGATCTGTCCATTTCTGCCCAACTGGTGAGCTGTACCTGGAATCTCAACTAGATCTTTTATCTTCTGAGTCCAAAGCAACTTTCATGTGTAAGTTCATTAAGTATCACTCCAGTATCCTTCACTGTTTTGTGAAATGTTAGGAGAGGAGAGGAATAACATGGTAAGGCTGCATCTGCTTGGTACAGAACATCTTGAGTTTGAATGGGCCAGTGACACAATGAATAATAGTGTGTCTGACTAAGGATCAGAAGGATCAAACTGAGGAGTTTAGAACAAAAAAATTCAGGATGGTTTGGTTTAGGCGAGGGAAAAATCCCTCAGAAATGTGCTCCAGGATTTGTTTCCAAGAACACCTATAGAGAAAATGAGTAAAGCCAACATCTGTTTCATCTGTTTAGTGTAACCAATGTAATCAAAGCTTTAATATATTACCTATTTAATCCTAGAGCAAAATAATAATCATTATACATTGTCTACAAAAGATGAATTTGAAGCTGTATAGATGATGTAACTTGTTCAAAGTCAAAGTGTCAGGAAATGATGGCAGCAAGGTTAAGCATGAGTCATTTCCGAATACCTAACGGCCACTTTGAATTATGTCAGTCCCTCCCATCATCGCACTACCTACGGAGAAGGTATAAATGCTGGACTTCTGGGCCTCTGTCTCTCTCTTCCCTGAAATATTTTTGTCTCCATGACATCTTACACTTACCCTCAATGTTCTTTTCCCACAACCAGAGACCAGGATCCTGTCCTACTTCCCTGATTGAAACTTGAGCCCAGAATAGAACGCAGCATCATCTCATCTTAATTTGTATTTGATAAGAAGTGAAAAAAATTCATTGCTAATTAAGCAGTTCCCTGGATTAGAAAATCAGCAAAGGAGGGATTTTAAGGAAAAGGTTTTCTTGTTGTTAATTCACTTTATTTCCAACGTGTATTGAATGAGCCCTTAGTGTGGATATTTATTATTAACAATCCAACAAAAATAACATTTTGCTCTCTAATGATTTTGCTAATTGATACCACAATTAAACTGAATAATTTAAAACTCAAGTGTTCTAATGTGGGTTACATTGAAAATTTTTCAAGATTATATAACTGCTACCTCCATATTATTTCAGAAATCTCTGGTCACTAATAACCTGGCATTGATGTATACATAGGTAAAAAGTCTTAGAATTCGTAATGTTATTATGGTTTAGAGCAATCATTCCTATTTCTAATGCCAACCCTGATAAAACAAGAAATATTTGGACATATTGAATCATGCTAAGCATATTTAATATAACCAGAAAACATATATTATTACTTTTCAATTGGTTTATACAAATAGTTAACTTTGAGAAATTCAAATATTTTAGGCTTTTACAGAATCTTTCAAGTATTCTCTATGGTTGAATACATCTATGTTGCTTAATGTCTTTAAGTAACTCCCTTGTGAATTTCAGTTTAAACAGGAAAATTTTGACTAAGGTTTTAAATACCTTTCAACTCTTAAAGATACGTTTAAGTTTTCAATGTAGTTTTAAAATTACCTATTAATGGACAGCAAATATACTGCATATTCAGCACCTACTGCATACCATGCACTGTTCAAGGTAATTGACAGTTCAGGAGGAAATCAGCTTCAGGTGATGGAATGGAAGTGTGCATGGAGGCAATTAAAATCCAGGCAAGAGGCAGTGGCAGGAAATATAGAAGAGAGAAAAAAAGAAGTTAAGGATATTGTCAGATTGTTTTTTGGCATGATCAAACAGAAAGATAAATTTGCCACTTACTTGAATGGCAGATGACTTAAGGAGATACCAGTCTGTAGGAGGCAAAGGAAGTTTGGTTTTGGAATGTTATTTGAGATTACTTTCAGAAGTTGATGATGAGAGTATAAACTGTTGCCACATTGAAAAACTGTTTGGTTGAATCTATCAAAACAACATATACACTTGCCCAACACTTCTACTCCAAGGTATATGACAAAGAGGGAGTGTAAAAACTTCACCAAAAGACTTGTCCAAAAAATTTCACAGCAGCACTACTTATAACATTGAAAAACTAGAAGCAGACTAAATAATAATAAGTAATACATTATGATATATTTATGTAATAAAATATTATACAACAATGTACCTATTTGCAACATTATAAATGCATCCCACAAATGATAAGACAAAATAGACACAAAGGAGTAAACACTGCCTGATTCCATTTATATAAGTTTTACAAAGAAGCAAAACCTAAGGTATTTAAAATATTGGTAACTTGGGGATAGTGATAATTATGGGCAAAGTACAAATGATGGGCCACTGTGATGCTGAAAAAAGCAGTTGTCTTTTTAGAAATGCATTGAACCATACAACCATATTTTATATGCTCTTAACTATTTACATATTAATCAAATAAAAAATTTAACATACGTTTTAGGTATTTAATAAATTTTCATATGGAGATGATAGATAAATGGTTGAGTATATGAGCCTAAAGTTTTAAGGAAGGTCTGGGCTGGATATAAAACAGGGAGCTGCCAAAGTTTATATGAGATAAAACAATTGCGCACAATCCCAAGAAGATGCATACATAGTGAATAAGGTATAAGACCAAATTTTGTGCACTCCAAAGTTGGAGTCTAGGAAAATTAATTATGGCCTATAAATGGATATGAGAAAAGGTGATCAGAGTGACAAGAGGATAGCTGAGTGTGCAGAGTTCAAAAGCCAAGCTAAGAAAATATTTTTGAAAAGTAATTGGCTTTTCAAAGTAATTTGAAGGTAAAAAATGCAGATGGGTGAAGCAATATGACTTAGTATAGGAAAAAAAATGCTCATCTATGAGAAATTACAGCATCATGCTCATAGTTAACAATACCACACAGTGTACTTAAAATTTTGCAAGAGGGTAGAGCTTAAGTGTTATCATCATCATCATATATAAACTGGGTGGGAGGAAACTTTTGGAGGTCATAGATGGGTTTATGGCATAGATGTGGTGATGGTTTCACTGGTGTATACTTACCTCCAAACTCATCAAGATATATGATTAAATATGTATGACATATTTTTAATAAAAAGAACTCCCTATAATCACATCCAGCCAGACTTCAGTCAAAACTCAGGCATATGAAAGCCTATGGTTCCAGACCTATTTTAAAAAAATTCCCTTTCATTCTTTCATTCCCCGAATCTTTCTCAAATAACAAAATTTGAATTTTCTTGGAAAAAAAAGAAGGAGAGAGAGAGAGAAAGAAAGAAATAGGGATGATTCTCTAGAGGGACAATGTTAGAAAGCCTTAGGAAAAGGAACCTAGTGACAAGGGTCATCCTTGGTTAGACTCAGGAAGAGTTCACAGGCAACAATTGGAACACGGAAAGAAAGACATGAGTGAAGACAGGCCAGGTGGACATTTTTTAATGATGGTTTATAGTGTCTCTGTGGAAGAAGTAGGGTCTTCACTTAAACATGGATAGAAGGGAAAAGGTTTGAAGAAAGAGAAGAAGGTACTATAAAGTCTCCTTGATGAGCATGTGCTGATGAAGACAGGAAATGTAATAGTTTTTCTGGACAACATGTAAAGGCCCACTTGCCGTTGTAGTTCATATATTAAAAGTAAAATAAATTATTTGGATAAAGCTATTATAAATATTTGTATCCTCCATTTGCACAAGAATGGATAAAGCTGTTGAAGGATCAACATCCTTTTGGGAGGTGTTGCTAATGAAAAATTGTCTTATTATCATTAAGGGATGATAATGAATAGAGATTAGTCTAATTGATATATACCAGGTCATAAAGGAAGGTAGTTTTTTCTTCATGTCCTGTGTTTCTTCTATTGTTGTTTTTCTTTCCTTCTCCTTTGCCCAAAATAACAACAATGATAATAATAGTAATTTAAACAAATATTTTTAAAAGTTAAGGGATACCAAGACAATACCAAGTTTTAGGTAAATATTTCATGTACAGTAGAATATCTAATAAGATAGCAGATGTTTTCCAGTTTCGGGAAATTAAAAATAGTGTGATCTGTGTTTATGTGTATGTGACATTATCTCCATGTGTTTTCACACCACCAATTTTAATTGTTTGTTTCCTTGACTGTAAAGATATAAGAGGTAATGAGTTCTTCATTGTTCACTAATTGTGTACTTAACAGAAGTCTCAGGCAGCAATTGTAAATCGCTGCTTTACTCCAATGTTTGGGTATACCAGTGCAAATAATCACAGATACATCTGTTCTCACATAAAGCAAACTGCTTCTGCTATGAAAATAAACAGATGCAGCGAGCACTAAAAATCATCCTGGTGAATTTGGTTGATTAGAATTTAGTGGCTTCTCCTTTTGATATAATGTATGTTTAAAAATTCACCTCTATATATCAATATGCCTATATATCTTTATTTATCTATATACTTTTATTTTAATTTATCTATATATCTTCATTTCTAAAATAGTGAAAGTAGAGATATGAGAAGCAGTACTGCCTACATGGTGACCCCGAACTACTTTCTCCAAAGGAGGATTTTTTTAACAATAAGGAATGATTTAAAAATAGTTTAGAACTGGAAGCAGAGACATCCCGAGTAGCCTGGACACCAGCGGCAAGGGTAGGTGGAGAGGTTAACTTTCCCCTCCCTGCATCCGGGACTGTTGGTGAGCTCTCCAGTGGTTGGAGAGACCTGTGGACACCAGCCCAGAGACGGCCACTGCCAGTGAGCGGTAAGCCTACAGCAGACGCAGGACCAGGGTCCCAACTCCCTTGGGACACCTCCGTGTGCACAGACCCAAGCCATGTGGCAGGCCCCATATTGCTACACTCCCCCCACCACCACCACTGTCCCTATCCGTGGCTGCGAAGAGAGACAATATAGCCACCAGCTGGAAGCACCTCCAGGGAATGGGACCTTCCCTTTCAGTGCCCTTCAGCTGACTGAGGGGAACTCAGACTGTGAACTCCCTACCCACCAGACAGGTGCTGCTGGCCCAGTGATTCCAGGAGAACAGGGCAGACCCTGAGGCTGAGAGACATCAATCCTGCTTGGGCTCCCTATAGGTGAATTAGGACTGGCACTCCTCTCCCTGGTGGGGTTAGGGATTGAACTCTGGAGCCCAGAGGTCAGACCTGCAGACCAGACCCCGTGCACCCAGGTCTCACATTGCCCGGGGCACAGAAGGGATATTCCTGAACAGCCTACTGAGGTGTGTGTGCCTTCTGGGGCAGATCAGCATCCTTGAGGGCAACCCTCCTCCCAAAGGGGGCCTGAGTGCCCAGCCCAGGTAGCAATCCTGCGTAGGGAACCTCCCGGCCAGCGTCACAGCCAGGGGAGGCCCAGTGGCATGAAGTCTGGCCTGCTGGCAGAGGCCCAGGAGTAGCCACAGAGTGCGGAGAGTTGAAAGGAGCGGGCCCGCTCCAGACTGCAGGTCTCAGATGGCCCCATCCCCACACGCAAACTTTCTGACTGAGCGGGGACATTTCAGCTTCTCCCTGACAGCTTTTCCCAGAAGCAGAGAACAGAACTTTGACCCCTGCTAACAGCATTGTTGGTGCCTGAGGGCAAGCTTCCCCAACACAGCTCTACCCAGACTCACTCCCAGACCAGCCCTCACTGAGGTGGAGAATAAGGACACACCTGGAAGTCCCAGGGCCCCACTGACTAACTGAGGCACTAGAGTGCCTCTCCAGACAAACAAGAACTGGATAAAGACTGAAAAACAACATTGTAGCCTGCTTGTCTGGGCAAGTGCCACCTACTGACAGGGAGGACATTTTGCACACCCTTTCCACGATACCTACTGATTCATCATACAGGGTGTGGTCAAATCTCACCCACAAACACCACCTACTGGCTCAGAGACTAAATAGGGCATGTCAATATCCAAATGAAAACCTAAAGGCAAGAAGCAACAACTGATCCAGATGAGAAGAAATTAGCGAAGGAACTCTGGAAATGAAGAACCAAACAGAAAGCACACCCCGAAAGAGGAGCACTAGCCCCTTAGAAATGGACACCAAACAAAATCAGACCACTAAAATGACAGAAGAGGACTGTTGAAGGAGGATTGAAAGAAAATTCAACTACTTTCAAGAAAAACTGGATAACCAACACAAAGAAAACACAAAAAGATTCTAGGACATGGAACAAAAATTCACTAAAAAAAATCGATACAATGAAGAAAAATCTAACAGAAGTCCTAGAAATGAAGAATTAATTCAGGGAACTACAAAATACAATGGAAAGCCTCAAGAACAGGGTAGATAAAACAGAAGAAAGAATCTCAGAGATTGAAGATAACACCTTCCAATTAAATAAATCAGTCACAGAGATAGAGCAGAGAAACAAGAGAAAAGATCAAAGCCTACAAGAGATGTGGGATTATGTCAAGAAACCTAATGTGAGGGTCATAGGGCTACCAGAAGGGGAAGAAGAAAACACTCAAGGATTAGACAAGCTACTTGAAGATATAATAGAGGACAATTTTCCAGGCCTTGCTCAAAATTTCCAGATACAAGTTCAAGAAGCTCAGAGGACACCTGGGAGATTCAATGCAAACAGAAAGATGTCACAACATGCAGTCATCAGACTGACCAAAATATGAACCAACCAAGGAGGCCTTTCTATGAGCTGTAAGATGAAAGAA